TGCTGGGCTCCCACCTTCAAGAACGAGTGTCCGCCCCCGCCAGTCAGCTGCCCCCTGGATTTTCCCCTGCCCAACGGCTGGACCATCAGCCTCAGAAAGGGGAGGTTTCAGTGCCCAGAAGTGCCCTTCAACTCTCTGCCAAAGTAGGGTATTTCCTATGTGGGCGTCCATGAGATGGCCCGGAGAAGCCTTGACCAACTTCCCGAAAAAATCTGGTCAACAATGTACAAAAGCATCCTCCTGTACAGAGGGTCCTCTCTCTTTGAGGGGCTGGAGAGGAGGTTTTGCAGCAAGGTCCTCCAAAGCCTGCCCCCCAACTTCGAGGTCAGGGTGGCCACCACACCACTGCAGAGGTACTCAGCACAGGTAGGGGGGTCCATCCTCGCCTCCTTCAAAGGCTTCCGGATGTGGTGGATCTGAAGGGACAAGTACAATGAAAAGGGGCCACCAGAAATGCTACTGAGGGGACACCCATGCCAGGCCCAGGGAGCACTTACACAATTTTCTCATGGTTACAGACCAGGCAGCAGAAAGTAATAATAAATGATTTTGTGCTGTCAAGTGTCGTCTGCTCCCCAGCCCTGCACTGTCCCTAGCTGAGGGCTGTTTAGGTAAAAGCCACAGACTCAGGCTGCAGCTGCAGAGATGAAGCCAACAAGTCCTGCTCCTTAAGGACACACCATCTGCCACAGCACTGCCTCTGCAGGGGAGGAGGCAGCCCCACGGGGCAAAGGCTCAGAGGTGATGCTGAAGCCTTGCACTAAGCTACCTGGTCCCCGGGCCCCATCTGTGCTCTGCTGCCTCCCTGCCACCCTCATGGCCCTGGACGCACATGGTCACTTCTCCATCCCTGTCTCCACAACCCCTCGCGCAACGCCACACGGCCAAGTTGACGGTACAGATCATGGTGTTCCCTATCAGGGCCACCGCAACAGCATCAAGGTGACATTGCCACCCCTGCCAGGAGCTCACCGAGATGCAGGGGTCCCACACCAGCCCAGGCTCACCTCTAGCAGAGCTGTGCAATGGCTTGGCTGGCACCAGAATTTCATGCCATGGGTTGCAGCGTAGTCACTCCCTTGGGGCTGCAGCCCATGTACCCAGCAAAGGTCCTATGCTCCCCATGCATGACCCCACAGGGCTCCCATCAAGCAACCAGCCCTTGCAGTCACCCCCCAGCACAGAAAGACGGCCATAAACACCTATATTCATGCAAAAAACAGGTACTTGGAGCAGCCTGTCAAGGGACAGATCAAACCACGGGAGAGAAAGCAAAGCAGAAACCCACAACATCACGGCACCTCTCCCAAACCACGCAAGGTATTTTCATACCTGGAATAGAAGGCTGGGAAAAAGACTGCCACAAGCTAGGTACTGCCCAACGGGGAAAAAGGGTACCAGCTTCCCACCCCAGGGACTCTCTGCTAAAAAGGAGATCTTCTCTTACCCCTCTGGGTTTTATAGGGTTGAGGGTTTATATGCTGCAGCTGCAGCTCCTCCACCACCTTTCACAGCTCCTCAGGACTCGGTCGCCCTCAGCTGTGATCCCTGGCAGGGAACCAGGAGCGTGCCCCAGCACTGGGGCTTGGAGTCAGCTCGCAGCCTTGGAGGGGCTAAATTCCCCACAGCTGCACTGTATCAAGGACAAGATTTCCTCACCTCCTACTGGGCATGGGGGACCTGCGCCCACATTTTTGTCCTCTCCCAGTCCTCATTCTTGTCTGTTCAGCCCCAAGGTCTCTATGTCCCGTGAAGACCCCTTATTTAATGCGCTCCAGTGGGCAGAGTTAAGGGTACTGTGCAGGTTTAATCACTGATCTTGAACAGCAACATGGCAGATTTAATTTCCTTTTAATGCAGCGGAGGTGCCTGCTCCCCACTCCAGCACTGTGAGCATGCACAGGCTGGAGCAGCCTCGGTCCCCCCCTGCGGCTGTTGCCTGTGAACACCAACGCCTGCACACGAGCAATTTGCTCACTGCAGAGGAGCAAGAGCCACGGGAAATAATATCACAAACAGTGTCAAGGTCAGCACCAAATCCTCCCTCAGACAATCCCCAAAAGAATCGTGCCAAATTTAACAAACTTTTGAGAAACTCCCCCTGACCTTTTGAAGCTGACACAGGGTTTGGTGGAAGGGATGTGGGACGGATATGTGGTGCTGCAGGGATGCAGGAAGGATGTTACAGGGACACTGCAACGATGCAGAGCGGATGCTGCAGGGATGGTGCAGGAACGTGGGAGGCATGCAGGGATGCAGGGGGGATGCTGCTGGGAAGCAGGGGGGATGCTGCAGGGATGCTGCAGGGATGCAGGAGGTATCTTGCAGGACACTTTCCCACGGCTCTCTGACAAGCGAAGAGTGTTTGGCTCTCAAATTGACTCAAACTAGCCACTTCATTTCCCCTGAAACTTTCCGGAGAAAACAAGTTCTTATCTCACTAGAAACCCAGGCCGCAGATGCCGGGCTGCCTGGGAGGAACAAGCAGCTCTTGTAAGCCAACAGCGGCACTCCCAGCCTTGGACAACTGCTGGCTGCTGCCTCCCCAGGGATGCACTCGAGGACGGGGCTGCACCTGCGGGGCTGAGCTGCTGGCATCATGTGCCTGGTGCAGCTGCAAACCACAGTCCCGTGTCCTGCGGAGCAAAGAGCTGCAAATGTGCTTCCTGTGAGCTGAAAGGGGAAACACGGGGCGACCAGGCACAACCCAAGGGTGCTATTCTGCATCCCTGGTATCAGCTGAAACGTCGAACGCTTGGCTTTCAGCCTATGCCTTTTTCTGTTTAAGGTTTAACAGAGGGACAGGACTCTAATTTTGACTTTGGTTAACTTTGCGGTGAGTGCAGCCCTCTGAGCAGGTACCGCTGTGGCCCACAAAACAGCTGGCACATCTGCAGCGTTTTTAGCCCAGCAAATCCCCCCTCCTCCTGTTTCTGCTCAGCAAAAAGCCAGAGCAGCAGCATCTCTCCCTCCCGACTCACTCCCAGCGCAGCTCGGAGTGGTGGAGAGCAGAAAGGCAGAGATCAGCTCCCCTTTCCTGCCTCTGCCCGCATGGTGAAATCCTGCCGTGCCCGCCAGCGGTCTTGGAGGCAGCTCCTCTGCCCGCTCCACCACGTCCCCTGGGGATGCCTGGGCACTGCCACCACTGGCTGCTGCCTCGCTCGACCTTGCTCCTGCCGGCACGACACAGAGCACAGCCACCACACGGGGAAGAATTGGCTCGGCAGTTAGTCAGACACCTCCATCACGCTTTTATCTTCCCAGAGGTACTTTCTGTCGCCCATCAGCTTTTTCCCACGGAGGAGGATGGCTCCTTTCATCAGCTTGAGTGTTTGCGAAGAGGCTCCACGGCAGCAGCGATTGACCAGGGGCTTTTGGTGAGGGTGTGAATTAAAGCACTGTCAGAGCCCTCCCGGACCACGGCCACCCTGCCCGCTCTGCACCAGTGCTGGGGAAGCTCCTGTGTTAAAAATCTGCCTTTCACAGCGCCGCAGAAACACCCGCCTGCCGATGCTCTGTGAGGCCTGGGGGTGACACGGCCTGTGCACATCAATGGTCGCAAATCTGCGACATTTTGCAGATGTGCAAAGCTACCAGTGAATTTGGGAGGTGCCTGGGAGATTGGCACAGCCCAGCAGGATGCCAAGGACTGGTGCTTAGCTCGGGGGTACTGGCCAGTTGCAATCAGGGGCAGCCTCGTCTGGGCAGTGATGGACACAGCTTCTTTGTGCCGAAGGGATCAGCGCAGCTCAGAGCTGATGGTAGCTTCCAGGTTACCTCCTAAGTCCTTTTTAACGATATAAATACGCTGTGAACAAGTCACCCTCTGGCACATCACGGGCTGAGGGCCTGAAGGGGACAGGGGAACCCTCCGTGCTCGGTGCTGGAGCCCTGCGCTCCTCTGTCACAGCAACGCGCCGGGACTCCACGTGGGATGCAAAAACCCCTCATCCGCACGTCTCAGGGAAGTAAGGGACCAGGAAGAAAGGGACGGTACGATTTTGAGGTTAGTCAAAACACTGCGGTAATTTAGCAGAAAGCATT